AACATTAAAGAGGTCTTGATCATATGCAATTCTAGCCATTGTTGCTTACAACTGGATTAAGAATACACTGGGTTTGCCATATTGCCAAATAATTTTGGTCAAACCATCTCTGTTTCAGTCATAGTTCTAATTCATATGTAAAAATAAGTGGATGCACTTTATTATGAGTGTTTCCCCATAATTTGAAAAGAATTCACATGGATTAGGCAGCAATGTCAGCTGAGAGAAAGCAGTAGAAAAATGAGGGAGAGAGGCAACTAGTCTGCAGGGATAGAGTTGTATTGCATCGTTTTGGATCTAGGAGTAGAAAGAGCCTCATTGTGCAGATAGGAATAATAGCTAGAGAATCATAATCAATTATAGGCCCCTAAAATTAGAATGAGAAGAGAGTTTGGAACTACATTACTTGAAGATGTGCACTGTAGTTGGCAGCCTTTGCACATTATACTCCTCTTTGGTGTTTTCGGACCTGTGTTACCATGTCCCAACTTCATTTGAAATCACAACCATTTGTTGACATGTTGGCAAATTGATGACAGCTTTACTCTTGCAACTAACATGGAGGAAGTAGGGAATGCAGTAAATTCAAAATTATTACCTATGTAACATTTCTGTATTTTTAATTTTTGAGTTTTATTTTTACATTTCAAAGCTGAATTCAAATAGCCAGTACACTAACATTCCAAAGACGTCTTGTTATTGCTTCTCTTAATTTATCCATAGGAAGCTAATATTTTCTTATGTTATTTAACTTCTTGTGGGAAATTTAAATATCTACAGAATACGTTAAAAAGGCTCTAAATACTGTTTGACTGAGTTAAAAGATTTCTGTTAGGGCTTCATCTTGACTGTGGATAGAGGATATTGTAAGGAAAAAAGAAAAGCTTAAAAGAAGGTTGAAAGAAATCTGGAAGAAAAATTGTAAAGGAGGTTTTAAACAAAGATTGCTCAAGAATATTTCTGATTTTCTCTTTCCATTAACTTACAAAATAGAGATTAAAATAATCTTAAAGGGAGCTATTATTTTACCAAATGCTCCATACAAAATCTCTGAAATCCTTACAAAACTCCTGTTTGTCCTTATCAAGCCAACAATTTCAGAGGTTTTTTACTATACTGAATTTTAATACCTTGGAGAAAGACGTTAAGTGAGTGGATACACAGTTAGATATAATGTTTCTAGAAGATCAAATCCAATTTTTGGATAATCATATCAAAGACATAGTATTATGTAATAATTTGTGTGAAATGAGATGGAAAATTAAATTGGTTATGTAGCTTAAACACTACCTTCTAAAACTCAGGTTTGCCTTATAGTTTACTAGATTATTTTAAATAAGATTTTTTAAGGAAGACCGATGATATCATTACTGTCAAACTTCTTCTATCCCTTAAGTTCTCTCAAGTAGTTTACTTTCTTCATCTAGCAGGCCACAAAATTAGCCACAAATCTTATTTTACTATTGTCAACCTAGAACCTTTATCTAATTTTTCATTATCTCAGCAGACTTGCCTCTCACTGTGAGCTGCTTCATAGGAAAAGATTTTTTTCTGGACAAATTAACTGTGACTTTGCCATTGGTTTCCTCCCATCTTGTACAACAGTTATATGTACCGATAAAGCAACAATTATTAACAGTATATTGTTTTTCACCTAGCGAGCTTTTAGTATACTTAAGGAGCCTGGAAGTTTCATGAAACAGATTTTACTCATTATGCTACAGTTGCTTTTGTTGTGTAATCATATATTTTATATCAATTTTTATTAGTTGGCCTATTTACTGTAAGTTCAGAGGCTGTGTCTGCACAACTTACAAACCACTATTAAAGAAGTTCATAATAATTATTGTGAGATTTCTTCTTAAAATCCATATTTGCAGCATTATTCTCAGATGTGGACAAGTTGTGCCAAGAATTTGAGGTTTAATCAGCATTTTTTGTGGGTGGATATAAAAAACAAAAGAATTTTGTAGGCGTAAACAGAAAAATCACATTTTTCTCTGAACAGCTGTATAATAGCCACTTCTAAAAGCTAAATAGTAAACACAGAAGGAAAGGGTTTCACACTATAGAATGTAAGGCAAAATATTTCTGGCTTCCATACAGTGGGAGTTATTATAGAGCAAAAAATACCAGTAAAAACTGTCTGTATGCTTGGACAGCTGACACTTCAGGGAATAAGTTAGAAATCAGAATCCTTTTCAGAGCCATGCTGGTTGTCAATCATTTATGGCTTTGGAATTAATTAAGAAGGGAATAGTACACACAAATGCTTTATGATCTACAGCTTGACATACATTTTGTAAAGGTTTTTTGCATAATAAAGCCTTTGGCCATGTGTAAAAATCAGAGTTGTTTTTAAACCCTGAAATCATATTCACCTTAAAGTTGATATATCATTCCTATGTATATGCAATGTATAACCATAATACAGAGTTGATAAATAAAGGTAATATCTTTTTTTTTGACTAGTTATTATCACTGAAGAACATTGACAAGCTTGTAAACACAGAAGCTTTCTTTATATCTGAAACAGAAAAAGCATGTTTCAAGGGCAAAGAACAGATGAAAAAAATTGCTTAGAGTATCAGAAATATCACATCTTTGAGAAAGATAACTGGAAAGATACAGTTAGAGGAGATATTAGTGAAGAGTGGAAGAAAATAAATGAGACATTCTACTATATGTGTTTGCAACAAAATAGTTGCAAATCCTGATACAGTAGTCTAACGTGGATGTGTATTAAAGATATTTTTTCATGGAAATAGTTTGTAATTTTGAAAGAGTTTTCATATAGAGAAAGGTTGGAAATGTAAGGAATACATTCTAACCCTCCCCCCCACTCCCTCCAAAGACATAGTGTGATAATGGTGTTTTGGCTTGTGAAACACTCCCCAGTTTAAAAAAAAAAAAGCCCACACATTATCTTTCACGTCTAGAACTTTCCCCAGACACAAGTAGGGTTTGGATTTGATTTTCTGAAATCAAATTTTTTGTTATTGAGCATTTAATTACAAAAAATCTAACAAGATTATAAACTACAAATTAAACATTAAAAAGAAACGTGTTAATTTTATTGTCCTATTGACAGAGAACAGGAAAAAAATTACTTCTTCTTGGTCCTGTGTTTTGTCAATGATTTTTTGACCACCTGGTCACTTCTTACCTAAGCTTTCTTGCTGTATTGAGGATTTGGCCTCTGATTTAGACTTGACACCAGAAGTTTGTAGTTGCTATATTGCTGTTTTCTGTTCTCAGTGACTTTTGGGGCAGACTTCTTTTACCATCTCACAAGTATTGCCAGTAGCAATGCTGAATGCCCTCAGGAAATATAAAACCCGTCAATTTGGGAATTTAAAAGTCTTTTAATTCATGTTTTTTAAGATCTTCATATATGGTTGCTTGGTATAGTTATTTTTGAACTTTCTCATAAATTGACCCTAGGATATTCAAAGAATCATAGGGTCAGTAAGGTTGGAAAAGACCAGGAAGTCCAACTGTCAACCCAGCATCACCACCATGTTCACCATTAAACCATGTCCTCAAGTGCTATAGCCACAAGATTTTTTGAACATGTCAGGGGATGGAGACACCACCACTTCCTTGGGCAATCTGTTTCAGTGCTTTACAACCCTTTCTGTGAAGAAATTTTTCCGAATATCTAATCTAAACCTCCTGTAGAGCAACCTGAGGCCATACTTACTTTCAAGTATCTGTTCCAATTTTATTTTGATTTATCACGGATGGATCCATTTCAACATGAAAGACTGAAGCAGTCAAATCAGTAGCTAAGATGTGCAAGACCAGGATTCAGATCTACTCAGAGTCAAGCAGGGAGCAAAATGTATCATGGTTGTAAAGAGAGACTTTCTGTCTGCTGCTTGCTGACCGTGGGATTTGCCCAAGAAGCGTAAAACCTAAGTTCAGTTCTTGACTGCTTTAGATCAGACTTCCACAATTCAAGTGAGAAGGCAATTTCTGCCCTGAAATCAGTGGATGGGTATTTGTTTGCTTAACCAGATAAATTTTATTTAGGATATTTGGAGGTTCAACTTGGTGTATATGACAAAGCTTGTTAGTATCCATCTATCTGGATATTACCTAATCTCACTGGAAAAATAGGGCAGCAGCTAAGCATTGTTTTAAAGATAGAAGTGGATTCTTAAAGAGATGGATTGGTCTCCAAGTGCTTGTGAGGATCATATTCTGTTCAGAGAAAGTGCACTGCTGTTGAGTCACTTCTTAGCTGTATTCAGAACTCTGACAGGCCATAAACAATCTTCTGGTTCTCTCTGCCTAACCTGAGTGTATGTGGAACAGTGTTGATGGGTAAAAGAAGGAAAAGGGAAGAAAACTAGAGTGCAAAATCCTGCACAAAGTCCACAACTTGTTAAGATTAGCACACTTTGTATTTTAGGATTAGAGGGAAGTTCCTATTAAAAATAGGTACCTGATTTCTCTCTACCTTTTTTTTCACAGTAGGTAATAATGGAATTTCTTTATAATTCTGCTCCTGACATTAATAGGAAATATATTAGGCCAATATTCTAGAAAGTTGAAACTTCTGTACAAATATTGATATTTGTGCTGTCCTGGATATTTGTTGCTTACAAAGAGGATTCTTCCTCTTGCTAGTTGAGTGTCCAAATGAAGATATAAGATTTTTCTGAAATAGACAGGGTATTGTTCTTAACATGACTGGTTTGATTCCTGTGGGTAACTTGCAAAGTAAGGTACAGAATCTGGTACTGACTTATCCAAAAGTGAAAATATATGTGAATATATTAATTTTTGTTCCTTCCCTTAGGTCTAATATATCTGTATTTTAATATCTGGTCATAAACCATATTTGAGACTCAATGATATTCTGCAGTGATAAAAAATGAATTGTTATTTACTAAACATGTCTGTGTAGAAGGCATGAATTATCTGTTGGCCTGATCACATGGTATTAGTACTGAAAAAATGCATTTATTTGTTTGTTTATTATGTATTTTCAGGTAGAGATTGAAAATCTGGACTATCATTACTTTCTGCCTTTGTTCTTTGATGGGCTTTGTGAAACGAAATTTCCATATGAGTTTTTTGCTCGTCAAGGAATCCATGACATGCTGGAACATGGTGGAAACAAGATTCTTCCTGTCGTTCCTCAGCTCATTATCCCAATAAAAAGTAGGTGAACATGTAGGAAAAAAAATCCCTGCAATTGTAATTGTGTGGTGTAGATTTTTGAAAGATAGCTAATTAAGCTGTAAGACATGACAGCCAGTATATTTCATGAAGGTTATTGCAAATGTGAGTAAATTTTAAGATATAAGGCCAGAAGGCTTATGTCTTCAATCAATTACTGCCCATGATATCTGCAGTAATCCAGAAGAATAGGCTATCTGGTTAGTGGGTTTCTTTATTACAGGTGGCTCTTGGTCTTTGGAAATGTGATGTTTTCTTAGCTGATTTTGTATATTTATGATGTAGATCCATTACTGTATAGACCAATTCATCTAAAGTGACAGGAGAAATTAACAGATGGCATTTTAAAAATATTAATTTTGAAGGTTTTATATATTCATACCTATTTTCTGTAGAATTATGTGAAAGGTAATAAATTATTTGAATACCACTGAAACTCCAAGTGTAGTACCACCAAAACTTTATTTTTTTGAAGCACCTAGTCTTTCAGATATATTGTTTTGCCCTTTCTTCTTTCTTTATATCAGTGCCTTGAAGAGATATTATTCTGAGCCATCATCCTTCTTTAGTTAGGTATTTTGATTCTTCAGTCTGCACACTACACCTATACAAATAGATGCTCATATTTGTTTAACTTGGCTTCTTTTTTATCGTTAATCATTAATGGTATCATTGCTGTGCTTTGTCCTGTTTTTCTGAGAGGCTTCAGCATCCATTCTAATACAGAGCAAAACAGAATAATTGTATTTGTGATACAGAATGAATAGAGTCAAGTACAGTTTTGAAAAAGAGGAAGTGAATGCAGTTTGGAACCTGATAATACTGAAATAATAGTGTTGGAAGGGTCAGAATTGTGGAGTTTTATAATTCAATTTTTTCTCAATTTAAAAAAGATTAATTATAGATGTCATTATCTCTATCTTACTGTAGATTTTAAAAATGTCAAAATGAATATATAATATTCAGAATGGTTACTCTGCGACACTTGAGAAAGGTTAAGAAAACAACATTACTGGTTTTTATCTCTAAGAGGGGAACATATAAAGAGAAGAATCATGTCATTTCTTTAGAACAGTATTTTCAACACCACACAAATATATTTATAGTGGTATCAATTTTTTGGAAAGTTGAAATAATTTCTTCAGAAAAGACTGCAAGTTTATGACAGCAACTATTCCATTAGGATTTAAAAGTCTTACTGAGACCAGAATCTAGCTTAGAAGTAGTTACCTGGAAGCTTTAGGTGTTGCACAGCATTTAGCATTAGAGACTGCTAGGTAAGGGTATTTGTATGGGTTTGATATATAGTCTTTTAAATCAAGTCACAATTTATGGTACTGGAACATATTGAAGAATCTACTAGCTAAATTTAGTTGTTGGTTCTGCTTTCTTTTATTCTCAAGTGCTTATTTTTTAATTTTAAAAAGGCTTCTATATAAGCTTTAATGTGTGAAGAGTCTAAGTATTATCAATGATAAAGGCTTCTTCCTAATTAAAGCCATATTAATATTAAAAAAGACAACACCAATCCCAAGAATCTGAAATTGCATACTTTTAAGGGTTTTTAAAGTTGCCATGACTGTGTAATATAGCAGTGTCGTCATAGCCATGCATTTCTGTGACTCGGCTGCATCCACAATAAACTCAGATATGTTTTACACGTATTACTGTCTCTAAAGTGTCCCACTGGGTGAGTTATGTCTGATTAACCAGTCTTCTTGTAGACCATATTTCTACTGTGAAAGAGTGAATCAATTTATTGTTAGTCGAGGTAATATATATGATGAAGGAGACAAGGTTATAAGAAAGGCAGAATAACAACTTTGAAGATAGAATACTTTTAAAAGCAGTTTTCTCTCCTGTATGTTCATCAAAGGAAAATATTAGTAAGGAGCTGTTCTCTAAAAACATTTTAAATTAAATGTTAGAATTCTGTATTGTATTATAATGATTTAAGGAGAAATCTATCCCCACCCATCCTTGCTTAAATTTAGCACTTTTTGAGCACTATATCATTAGAGATAAAAACTATATTATTTAATCAATCCATGTGTTATTGTAAGCCCAAGTTCTTTCAACAAATTTTCTTCTGGTAATAGAAACAGGCAGTCAGGAAAAAAACCCCATACACTTGAAATTAACAGACCTGGTTTCTCTTCTAAAATACTTGAAATATTATTAAAATAATAAAGAAGAATGATATTTACTTGAAAAATATTTGGGTTTTTTTGTTTTGTTTTTGACACACACTCTTTTTTATTTGAAATTCAGAGGAAGAAAAAAGCCTTCAGGTTGGAGGCATTAGTTTCTCAAGGAGAAAAATATTCAAAATATATTTTTATTTCTCAAAATAAAAATTCAAAATATATTTTACCTTGCACTGGAAAAACATGATAAAATAGTTTATAAATATAGTCATTGCATGACAAAAAATACAGGAAAAATAAATTCCCTGTATTTGTCAAACTTGTAAAGAATCCAATTAACAATAAAGAAAATGCAAAATCAGAAAATGGAATTAATTAAGGTGTAAGGCTTTTTACTCCCTTTCACAGAAGATATAGGCAAATCTGTTTTCTGAGTTATTTAAACCTCAGCAAAGATTCATAAATTGAGATATATAGCCAATAGCAAAGTACTTTGGAGCAGGTCATAAAAGTTCCGACGTACAACACACAGCCAAATGTCTTCTTTGCCAGAAAGATCCATATTGTAACTTTCACATTGCAGACAAGTAAAAAGGCAGAAGAAGGAGACTATTTTTGCCCCATATCAAAAACTGAATTTGTGGCAGAGAACCAAACAGAACCGCTGGGGTAGCAAGCAAAGATGCCTGTATGTTATGTGAGAATTCCTTTATTTTTAGGGAGCAGAGGAATCTGTCTAGCCCTGTCATGTCTTTCAGTAATGTACTGATTTATCTTAAAATTCATGTGTGGCCTAACATTAACTAACCAAGAATAGCCAGGAAGGTGCCTATTGTACCATGTGCTTGTCAATGGAATACTCCTAAATTCTGTGGACATTATGGGAATGTGAAATTAATTTTGATACTCATTTGGAGGGCAAATTGTTGCTTTTAATGTTACATTTACCATAACAAATGCCAAATCAGAAAAACTCTAAGTCCTTTCTCTTGCTTTCGTTAGTCTTCTGCAACTCTCAGGTTCCCGACTGCATAGTTCCCCAGCGTTCTCTGCATGAAACGCACATGCAGACATAAACACTGAGGGTGCCAGAAGTTTCTACACCTTTGTCTAATATTTCTATGAGTAACATCAGGGACATGCAACACAGTGTGTGGAAGCACCTCCTCTCCTTTCAGAGGCAGCGAGCATGCTACCATTCACATTTGCTTTGTTGGCAGTGTAGTTGTAGGAGTTTTCCACCCCTTCATGCACAAAGTCACCAATTGTTCCAGCTTCCACACTCTGACTTTTGCTAATGCATTTTTTTGTGGAGCAACTCAGTGAATTTCACATCTAGATGTATCAATAAAAAGGAAAAAAAAAAATCCAAATCTGAAATAAACCCAAAATATTTTCAGAGTGGCATTACTTTGAAATTCAGATCATTTCAATGGTCTAGTTTATAAATGCACTGTCACAAATGAGGTAATAGTACATAACAGGACAGAAGCTGGAGTGAGTGAGTAGAAATGATCAATAGGAACATCTTGATATAGTTTTGCTAAAGAAGTAAATAATGTGAAAGTAAACACTTAAGCATCTTGAATCACCCATTTGCCAGAATCTTTTCTATTCTACACTGTGAATCCTAAAATGGATGTGTAGGCAATCTGAATTTAGACCCAAAAGCCAATAAAGCTCACATCTCTGCACTTAAATTGTAACTTAGATGGAAGTATTGTTTCTACACAGTTGCATTCAGCAGACGAGCTCTTCTGATTGAATCCAAAAAAGAAAAATCTCCATCCTAAGGAACACTGAAGTTTTACTTTTTGAGGCGTTTTTCCATGGTGTTAAAAATCCCTTCTGTGACGCAGTAGATCATGGATACCTTAAACTTTGTTGAAAATATTTCATTAAGGGAAACAGATTTTTTGTGAGTCAGATCTAGAGAAATGAACAGAGCATTCCTCCCTCAGTGTCACCTACAGAGTCCTTTTTAATTTTTAATAAATTTCTAAATTAAACTGATTTCTGTTTTCTATTTGCATGGAAAACGTGGATTCTTGTTGTCTTGGACAACAGTGTAGTTAATTCCTCTTCAGTGTCAAATCAGTGTCACTGTTGCATTTAGATAAGTAAAGTTGAATGTGTTGCTAGCAGTTGTTCTAAGGCCAGTTATATTTACATTTCTTCTCATATATCTTTACTATATTTAAGAGTATTTAATAGTCATTAAATGCTTCCTTTCATTCTGCTGATTTTTATGGAATAAATGTGGTTTTCTGCTCTGTAAATCATGGAAGTTGATTTCTTTCATCTAAAGGATGTAAATCAAACCTTCAACGGAATTATCTTCTTCCTAACTGACTGTTGCTCTTGAGAACCAGTTCTGCTTGTTAACATCACAGACTGAAAAATAACTGTAAACAAGCTTGCTTTATAAGACTTAAAGTGCTTTTAAAGAAAGCAAGGGTCTCTGACTTTTTTTAAGTTTTCTTGATACTCAAATACTTCCCTGTAGGTTTCATCAACCAGTACAAGTGACTGTAATTAGGTTTATGTTACATTCTTCTGCTCAAAACTGGTCATCTCAGGTATTTTCAAATAGCATAGAACCTAGATTTTTTATTACTCCCACTTACTCCTGTCCATGAGGAAAAACTGTGTTTCTCATTCAATCGAGATAAATCTCATCCATGTTTGCCAAGTGAAATGTGCAATTAACATCTCTGACTTTTGGAGTTAGAGCTATTCTCTCCTAAATTTATTAATTTATTAACATTTAGAATTTATTAGTAATGAATTTCATCTGCCATTTTATCACCCCATTTAGAAGGACTGTAAAATCCT